AAACCCCCCCCTTCAGCTTTTTGAATTTTTCGAAAAAGGGGGCGCTGGCGGGCCCTCGGGTCTTTGGGAGGGAGGCAGACCTGGACAGCCGGGGGCCTCGTTTCCAGTTTCCGAGATTAAAACCTTGCTTCAACAACTGTTTGTTCAATTTGAAAAAGGGCGTCCCGGTGACAACCAAAAGGTCCCTTTCCTTTCAGGAAAAGCCGAAGGGGGGGGGCTTTCGAGAGGGAGTTTAATTGGGGGTCCCCGGGGGTTGTTTGAAGCTCCCGGGTTAAGAACCCCCCCCCCCCCCCCCCCCGCCGCATGTAGCCTGGTGCATGCAAACCCATTTACCAAGTGGGATGGGAATGGATGAGCGAGGGCGTGCCGAAGGCGCCTCGGGCTGTAGCAGGCAACCTCGCGTCATCTCGGGTAATCTCCGGTGATCTCGGGTACTCTCCACGCCTGGGGCTGTAGCAGCCGGCGCCGCCGAGGGGCGTCATCTTGGTGGCAGGCAGCTTTGGCTGTGACTTGGGCTCGTAGAGGTGCGACTCGTCGAGGACCAGCCGGGTGCAGTAGCGGAGCATCTCGGCGGAGGGCGAGCAGTTCGGCGTCGTGACGACCACGTCGGTGAGCGGCGAGACGAGCTTCTTGCCGCCGTACGCCTGCACGACGCTCAGGCCCGGCGCGAACTTCTTGATCTCGTCGACCCACTGGCCGACGAGTGTGTTGTTGGCGAGGACGACGGTCAGGTTGCCCTGCTCGGCAGGCCGGCGCTCCTTTGGGCTCGCCTTGGCGGCGAGGACGAGGGCGGTGACGACCGCTGTCTTGCCCATGCCTGTTCACGGCAGCACGTGTGAAGAGTCGCTGCTCACAGCCGCACGCTGACGACCGCCGTCCTGCGCATGCCCATCTCGTCGCAGAGCCATCCGCCCCTCACGCTGTGGGTGCTGCCGGCGTCGTCGGGAGAGCTGTACACCGGCCGGCCTCCCACCCACGCGACAGCGACCCGCTTGCGCTTCTTCTTCAACTCGTCGGGCTGGCCGAGCAGGGAAGGGTCGGTGGAGCGCTCGATGTCGAGCATGAAGGCGAGGCTCTGCTTCTGGTACGGGCGGAGGGTGATGCCGGCGGCGAGGCCGGGCGGCGGTGGCGTCTCGACGGGGTACACCTGTGGACGTGTCGTGGACATGTCTTGGACACGGGCCGGAGTCTCGGCGGGGTATCAAGGGCATGATCACCATGCTCGAGGCGCCGAGAGACCCGAGGTCTAGCCGAGGTCTAGCCGAGGTCTAGCCGAGGTCTAGCCGAGGTCTAGCCGAGAGCTAGCCAGCCGAGGGCTAGCCGAGAGCTAGTCGAGATAGGCCTGCTCGAGCTCCCGCAGCATCCGCTCGCAGGACCAGGCCGCCGAGTCGTCGCTGCCGGAAGGGCGGGCCGAGGAGGAGGCGGCCGCGGAGGAGGAGGAGGAGGAGGAGGAGGAGGAGGAGGCGGAGGCGGAGGCGGAGGAGGAGGCGGCGGGGGCGGGGGCGGAGGCGGAGGAGGCGGGCGTCGGACGCGCGCCAGCCTTCCACTGCGCTCGCTGCTGCTTCCAGTGCGCGGACGCATGGGAGGCCACGCAGTGCTGCTCCCACAGCGGGCACGCCGAAGCGCGGTCGTCGCTGTTGGGGGGGGGGGGGGGTGAGAGAAGAAGGAGGAGTGGGCAGGTGGCCTGGGGGAGCCAGCGCACCACACGTAGCAGTAGCACTGCGGGCACGCCTCCTGTTTCCGGCCCTCCGTCCACGGCACCACGACGCAATTCTCGCGCGAGTGCGGAAAGTCGGACAGCGCGTTGGCGCCCGTCCGGCCGACAAACTCGAGGTCGTCGTCTTCTCCGTCGACCACGGCCGGCCCGGCGTGCGGCGGTGGGTGGCCGCTGAGCGACGAAGCGCCTGCGCGCGCCGAGTCGACGAGCAACGGCGGCTGCGCTTGCGCCACAACCTCATCCTCGTCCGACGACTCGGCGGGTCGCGCCGCAGGCTGCAGTGCCGCCGGCCGCTTTTCGCGCGCGCGCTGCGAGCGGGCCTCGGCGTCCACGTTCACGTCGCCGAGCGGTGCACGGCTTCCCGCAGCGGGCGGAGCGTCAGGCGAAGCTGTCTCCGACTGCGATACCGGCTGGTCCCGCTCGTCCGAAGCAGCCCCTGTGACAGGCGAGGCGGCGGGCGAGGCGGCGGTGGAGCTGTCGAGGTCGATGGACTGCTCGATTGAGGCGCCGGCGCCGGCGAGACTGGTGCTGCCCCTGACGCCCGGCGAAGGCGAAGGCGGAGGGGTGATGAGGTTGATGGTCTCCATGGCAGATCGGATCAGGAGGCGGAAGTCGGCCGCTTCGGGAGCTGCTGAACAACCTAACGACCAGGCGGGACGACCACCGAATCGATCTAAAAAAGAATTCTCAAACCGAAGTGCTCCAAGTGCTCCAACCGCAAGCCTCTCTCACAGCACACTGGCACCAAGGGCGCGGACTGGCGCGGACTGGCAGATCTAAAAAAGAAATACGACCTTGCAGTTCTCCGTTTATCAGACATCACGAGACACCTGCCGCGTAAACGCGCATGGCCATCGTGAACGGCTGGTTGCACAACGGAGATGGCAGGTGTCTCTCCCTAAGACGATCCGAGCAAGCCTCGCAGTGGTGCCCGCACGGGACCATGATGTGGGTGATTTGCTCGCTCATGCACACGACGCACATGAGTGGGTCAACGTCGCCCACCACCGTTGCTGCCGTCTGTGCAGCAGCCTCGGAAAGCAAACCTCAAGCGCTGCGAGGCGAAGCGCCGATCGCGGTAGCTCCTCGTCCAAAGCGTCGATCGCGCCCGCGTGTGGCGTGGCGTCGTCGATCGCGATACGTAGCGCCTCTGCGCTGTCCGCGCTCACGAGCCGCTGTAGCGCGGCCAGCGCCTCGCGCTCCGACGCTTCCTTCGCCGCAGCCGCCTCCGCCTCCGCCTCCGCCGCCTCCGCCTCCGCCGCCCGTTGAGCTGCCGCCTGCCTCGCCTCGCGCTCCGCCGCGAGCCGCTCTCGCTTCGCCGCCTTGCGCGCCTCCTCTCGCAGGCGGTCGCGCAGCCGGCGCGCCTCGGTGAGCACACCCGGGCTCGCGTGCTCGCAGCCGGCGGCGATCGCGTCTCTGATCTCCTGCAACCCGTGCGAAGCCATTGCCGCCCGCAGAGCCTCGTTGTGCCGCGTTCTGCTCGCCTCCACCTGCGCTGCTGCCGCCACCGCCGCCGCCGCCGCCGCCTCCGTCGCGGCCGCCGCCTCCACCGCCTCCGCCTCAGCAGTAGCTCTAGCCGCCGCCGCCGCCTCCGCCACCCTCGCCTCCGCCACCGCCCTTGCCTCCGCCGCAACTCTCGCCTCTGCCCAAGCAGCCGCCCTTGCCCTAGCAGCCGCCCTCGCCTCGGCCTCGGCCGCCGCATGCTCCTCGAGGGCACACACGCACGCGGCGAGGCCGTTTCCCAAGCTGCAGCGCGGTCTTGCCCCCCGCAGTGTGCAGCGTATCAGCGCCCGCTTCCAGCAACTGACGCACGACGGCGAAGTGAC